TGAAGAAGACCATGAATTGTTTGTACAGATCATCCAAGCTCCCTTCTGCAGGCAGTCTGCGAAAGACTAGCTGCAGTACCACGCGCACCAGGAGCCACAATGCAGATCGGTGCCACGGCGATTTGCAATTAAGCCACAATACTTCCTCCCGAGTGTTCTTCTCAATCTGTACAGACGTGACGTCGGTGCATCGAGGACGAAGAGTCGACATGAGAAGCTCTGTCACCATTTTGGGATGTGTGGTGTCCCTGGTCTCATCGTGCTCCTGTTTGGCCTTCTTTACTCTTGGTTTGGTTCCAGCAACGGGCTGGTGACTCATTCTCGAAATCGTTTGCGCCATGAGCGCTCGAAATTCGGGTTCCTCAAAAGCTGCCCTGGTCATAGCCATGGTCGGACCCGGGAAAGCACGGCGCAGCCGTCCCACTGTCGTTGTAACGGCTTCATTGCGAGCTGACAACTCAAAAGATTCGATACATATTGCGTCATTGTGCCAGTATAGGAGGATGCCTGCGTTTTGCTCGCGAACGTGAATTGGGAGGAATCCGCCTACAGCCTGGTTAGAATCGACCACAATTATTTGCGGGTTGCAATGCTTACCTCGAATAGGTAGCTCTGCCAGACTCATCTCGAGCTGCTTTTCATCAACGCTGCCGTGAGGACTGTATGCTTTTCTGAGGCGAGAGATCATCTCAGTGGCCTTACGCACGATAATAGTATCTGCGGTCGGAACGTAATCGCTGAAACTGAGGAGAGCATCAACGACGCTATCGAGGAGATGATGTTCTTGTTGCGCATTGTAATCTTCTGCTTGGGGAACCTTTGGCGGGAGAAATATGTGGTGGAACAGGTACAATGTCTGCTCTAAAGTCATTGACTTGGATGCAGGAGAACCCTTCATGACGAAGTAGTGGTTGAGAGAGGACAAATGCCGTGGAAATTTAATTGAATACAATGGAACCGAGCTTTGGGACCAATGTATGCTTCGTTAGGTCGCGAGGAGACGCCAAAGAGCCGCTCATGAACATGGGAGCATCTTTAAATATCAAGGAGCTGAATCCTCCTTGTAACAAACAGTATAGCCTTTGATTTTCACAGAACAGGCTCTTTGCATGATGCGGTCTATCACGGTTTGCACGGGCAGAGGATTGAATAACGTACAATGTGAGGGGCGCTTATCATTCCGTCTCAGCTCTCCTATATGTGGAACTCATCACAATGATAGAAGGGGCTAAGCAAACCCCCCTATAGAGACTTTTCTGACTCACCGCTGTTGTATCGACCATTGTCGATCTATGATAAAAAATGTGGTCATCCCATAGTTTCCATTATATGTAAATTAAACTTCAAAGCAACGCTCATATGGCATTGGAAGTGTTCCATACTGCTTCTACAACAAGTTTCTCAACATATGATCCGGGCCATGAAGCCCCACTTAACGTAGTGACTCCACGGACCTTGAATTGAAGATAAAAACCTATCATTGTTTCCTGGCTCGATCAAAAAGGAGCGAGACACAGCATGGGCAGAGCACATATTGCCGTACAATCATTGGTTTTCCTTACATGATAAAGTTCTTGCATCACGGGCCTCCTGCATAGTGCATAATAAGCCTCCCGCATCATGGGCCTACTGCATTAACAACAAATTCATCTCCGCCTTTGAATAATCAAGGAGTCAGCCTCAATCGCACCATAAGGTGCAAACTCACCAAGATGTAGTACAATAGCTGATTGAATGTTTTTCGTAGGTATTAGAGGGACTCGGACAATGGTAACTTTGATCATGTGGTACTAATGATTGCTTCCGGTTCAGTGACATACACAAGCTTCTTTATGTCGAGACCAGGGCCATGCAGGTTACAAATGCTATATTTCAAACTGCAATTCTTGCGTCATGATAACTGAATGTCAAGTGCAAATCAAGAAATCATCAAGACGCCACTCAAATGAGCCGATAGGAGAAAGAGTGAATCAATAGGGGCGAAAGCCAAGATGCAGGTTAACAGGCCTCACGCTAGTATAGGAAGCTAGGGTTGGAAACTGAAGCATAGATCTAAAGATCAAACACGCTACGGCTTGGGAAGGTGGACTTGTTACGCGGCATATGAATTCTAGATTTAGCGAGTATAGCATTGAGCAAAGATGAGCATTGCTCATATTCAAAGGGTTTGATCTTTCAAAAGCCCTTGAAACTCCCACAGCGATGATAAATACTGCTCTGTCTGCCTCTCCTCCTGCCAAACCCGCAGTCCTGTTCTATTCTCCAAATAGCCCGGCCATTCCTTCGGAAAATATCCTTTAATTTCCAGTTTTTGTAGATTTGAAAAATTTCCAAGTGTTCGCACAAAATCAACATCCACAGCTGGACCCCAATGGTTGACAGTCGATTCTGAATCAAGGTATAACACCATTTCTTCAAGAGATTCTACTTCTGTAAGCAGATTTCCGAGAAGCTTGCGCCATCGCGGGCCATTGGGAGGATTGTTTGTTAGGAAGTCTGGGTACGGCCCCGGATTGTATACAGCATGAACAGAGATCCAAAGTCTGCGTAGGTTCCGAACATTTGACGGCTTAATCACATTAAGCCAATCTATACCAGTGTCGGGGTTGTGAATTTGGAACATGTTTACGATATAGTATTCCGGTGGATTTTTCGAAAGTGTAGTTTGAGGATCAATAATGTGGATTCTTGACTCAGACATAACGGATATATTTAATCGAATGAAACGACGTTATATTTGTGTAACAAGTAACGTGTGGGGAGTTTTATATTATTTTTTGAAAAGATTCTTATACAAATATGAACTCTCGAATGCGTGATCATATTTGTTACGGTACATCTACAACATGAAGGTATTCAACATCCGCATTGGGACGTGACAAGTAAAGTCCCGATCTCCGTCCGGCAACCCGCAGACAATATGCATGGAAGTGAGCGCCACGTGATCCCACAATTGTACAGAAGGAAGATATATGTATCCAGTTGAGCTTGCTTCCTCAAGGATTAGTTCAGTACTATTCGGTCATACCACTGTTGTTGTCGTGCCTCATCATCTTGTCTTTTACCTAGTCCCACCTATCCTTAACAATATTACGAATGCTTGGACTATATGCTGAGAATACGTATTCTGAACCCGACGATTCTAGTTTGGAACAACATGCATACTATAGCCTTTGCTTGTACACCTTGCGTTGCAAGCCATATATGCAAGCTCGTATGCAAGTGTCCCTAATGTTCTCCGTAATTAATTCCCAAGTTTTTTGAAAGGTCTTTTTTAGTAGATGCATGAACCTGCAATAAGGTCTTTCCGACTGATGGCATATGGACTGGTCTGCCTCCCGCATGGCCTAGTCTGCCTCCCGCATGGTCTAGTCTGCCTCCCGCATGGCCTAGTCTGCCTCCCGCATGGTCCATTCCGCCTCCCGCACGATGCTTACCGGCCCTGTCTTTTAGTCCGTCATGGACTTCGACTCATGCGTTGGCCGAGTTAAAAGTACCCCACTCGAATCAATTACGTACAGCCTTCCGCGTGCCGTCGCTCTGATCTCAAGTTACGAGCGGCTTGCGGTCTTATCCATAATTACGGAATTAAAACGACCTTTGTGTCAGCACTCACTTTTCCAATTTCGAGTTTAATGATTTTTCGGATTTTTTACTTCGAGGACAGCATATTGCGATAATCCGATTACAATGTTCCCTCGCGAAGCCAGATCGACGGGGCATAGCACCTTTTCATCAGCATTTGAACTCAAACCCAAAATTGTCGGCCGCCCGAGGTTTGACCCGTATCACAAGGTTCTCAGTAGGTTCTATGAACCACTGGTGCTGTTGCAATTGCTCGGAAAGAGCCGCGGGAATCACCAGCCGAAACCGCACGATGTAAATACAGGCCAAGCTACGCGCCGGGATTTCTTGCGGAACCTGTCCTACATTTGTGACTTTGAAAAAGGCGGAGATACCTGCACCGCGATTGGACTTGCAGACCTCGGCACATGCTATCAAGTATATTTCGCTTCAAATAAAGGACATGCTGAAATCGCTGAGTTTCTTACGGCGGTTCTTGAGCTACTGCACGATTTAAATAAGTTGCAAGGACCGGAGCTACCTCAAAAAGAAGCGGAGTTTGTGAAGTTTTGTGTTGAATTTGCGGAAAAGCGCGTCAGAAAGGAAAAAAGCTGCTTATTCAGGGCCGTGGATGCTTGTAGCCGAAAGCTTTCACATTCAGCTACAATTGAAGGTGTGCAACTCTAGTAAAGCGTTGCAAGATTGCCGACGCTAATGTCTTGCTAGCCGAAGAATTAGGCGAGTGGTTAAGATCGCTCTTGAGCCACGACAATAATCTCACACTTTGCACGTTTGCATACGAATCCCGGCATTCTCCATATCACTCACAGTTGCAGTCTATACGGCAAAAAAATTTACTCAGCCCAGACATAAAATGCGATCCTTTTGGGCTTGTGAGACATTTCCTCGGACGGCTAGCCCATCATATCCGAGCATCAAAAGAGCTTGTCAAAGCTGTCACTGATATGAGCCAAATACTAGAAAGTTGCGAAGTTTCCGCTGTGGATCACATAACGTCTGTGCCGCCTCCCGCGCCCGACAGACATACGAATCTTGACGGAATTCTCAACCGTATGGTAGGGAAGGGACACGACGAGCGACTCAACATTGAACATGGACTGTCAAAAATTAACGCTGCGAATCACCTCTACGGAAGATTTCCGGACGAATATCGGAATTTAAAGCCACGAGTCCATGCAGAGGTTCAAATACTTGAGCATTTTCAGCGACATCGAATACAATTCATCGAGAATGATCGCTTTGTCGCTTGCAGTAAGGCAGCCTGCCTATGTTGCGAAATGTATTTCAAACACCACCCAGCACGAATGGTTGTCCCTGAATCGCATCGAAATGTGTGGACAAATTGGGGACCGCCTATGATAGGGAATTTCTCGAACTCTTCCGCAGGAAAACAGCAGTTACATATACTGAACAAAATGATTCAAGAGATTCGTGATCTTGTCATCAGCCAAGCCATTGGACAATCCTCGGTCGGCCAGAGACGTCCTGATTCAAAAACAGAAATTACAGATCTCCAATTCCTCGGCTACGGCCCAGTACCTATCAACGTTTCGAAAAAGAGTTCAATAGCTATAAGCAAAGATGCGCCCGTTGAAAATCAAGAATTGGAAAATGAAGCCAGGGGACCATCGATTAGCCCCGAATTATTGACCGATAACAACGAAGACTCGGACAGTGAGGGCGGAGGCGTTTCCATTCATGCCTGGATGCATTGAGGACAACTACAACATCGCTTGTTTAAAGCGGACGGTGTCTTTGGCTTACACCATATTATATAGTTTTTTACCGCTCTCTTTTCTAAGCAGGATGAATGTGAAATTGGAATAACAAAGCATAAGTGTTATTTATCTCTGCACTACCCTTTACACGTGTTCCTCTGGTGTTTTTGAAGGTTATCGTTGCGTGTAAAAGACGAGCCACAATCGTCACAAGTAAACTGTCTTTTAGGCCCTGGCTGGTGTGTTACGACATGCCGGCGCATATCCGTTTGTTCAGCTGCACGATGAAGACAAAAAGGCTGTGGACATTTGACAGGTTTTAAGTGTATCCGAGCGTGTTTCCTGTAGCATATTAGATACAGCATTGCGTGTGTTATGGACAGAGAAAATACCTCCAAAGATATTTCTTATCTTTACCTGTTTTCCATTCACAATTCACATACCGACAGCGATACACTCCATCAGAAAACAATGTCATATGGTCTATTGAAGGCATCTCAGCCTGTTCAAATTTGACCACATTTCGAGGCGCCGAGGCCAGCGGCTCTGGCACGCTTTCCTCTTGAGCACTTCGTGGGCTGGTATCCTCAGTCGATGCCAGTCTTTCAGAGTTTTCTTGAAAATCCTCTCCTCCATCAGGGAATACTTCTGGTTCCAGTCTCTAGAGAGATGAATGATCCATGTAGTTCTCTGTAGACTCTGGGAAATTCAGGAAAGCTGCGTCCATGAAGCCGGAAGTACCATCCATCGATTGATAGACTTCGAATGAGGAGCCTGCAGGGGGTGCGGCACCACCTGTCGCGCTGGGAGGCATCGGATCAATTGTCACCAGTTCGGGAAGGTAAAAGATTTGTTCAGGCAACAGATCAAGAAAAACGTTTGGGCCTCCACCTTCATCTTTATCGTCCGCGTCTTGGCAAGAGACTGTGTTGTCCATGGCTAATGGTGAGTACGCATAAGAAGACACCGCACTGTAGAATGAGGAGGCTTTATACTGAAGAAAGACGCGAGTACTGGTTTTCTGGCTGATTAATTCCTGCACAGATTGCTTGCATGGCTTCGAAAACTCCTACTTCATTCTTAGGGTAGCCCGTACGAGCCGTGAAAACTCACTGGTCAACAGCGTGGAGCCCAAATCACTCTTCGAAAGTGGCCAATGAAGTTTGTCCACATGTTTGCTACTCTTTCACCGCTCGTTCTCAAGCATCTTTTTCAACCTTAAGCATCATGATAAGCCTTCGCTCAGTGTAAAGCTGTTGATTCGTTGGACACTCGAAGCTACGAATAGTGGCGCCTATTGCAAATTGACTTGCGTGAATCATATTTCTCTCGGTGTTCATCGAAGTCTTTGGGGCACACAGTGAACGTTGGGTCGACAAAGTACGAGATGCGTAACAATTTTCTGAGCATCCTGGTGGGAAAAGGTTCGTAGTAGCCGCCATGTAAATTCCTTTCTTTTTTTTTTTTTTTGATAACGCTCGGACCTTGAGCCAACGCATCATTCACGAGTGAGGTCTGACGCTCTTCGCTCTTGGAGTACAAATGTGTCACTTCGCTCTTGAGTCTTTTATCAAAGTGCTGAAACCACGTCTATCCGGCTCTATCTCTCCAGACCCAAGACTATTTCGGTTGCTTGCTGACTTGGAGTATATCACTATGGCCACTTGTCAATCGTCAACTTATCATTATTCTCGGAGCTGCAAGTCCCCTGCTTTGCTTATATTCTATTATATATGGCTTTCTAATACAGTTTCAGACCCGCTCGTGGGAGAAGAAATGTTCCGCGCAAATGTCATATTAGCCCTAGCGCGGTTTAGCGAACCCCAAAATTTACTGGTAAGTCGCCTTACTCTTTAACCTGGAAGCAAGCTTCCCAGCGATATTGACTTAGTAACAGGCGGATACTAGTCATTTCATTGAGTCATATGACTATGTTGCAGGAATTCGTTACCTGGAATCAGCGCGTGGTTTTCCCTTTCACGATCGCGACAGTAACCCGAAGGTAGCTGTCTTTCAAGCCCTCGGCTTTGCTTACAGCTCGCTACCAAGGCCAGAGGCACATGCTCTGCTAGACAGCCTACTTCGATTTAGTCATAGATGGCGCACCACAGAACCTCGGATTGATACTTTGGGTTCATTCACCGACCACCGACCGCAGGAGCCTCGACAGAGCAATCCCACAAGCGAAGCAACCCTACGGTCTGAAACACGCAATGAGGAAAACCTAGGCAAATACACCTCGGCTTTGAATGAAAAAGGACAAGAAGAAAAGAAAACAGTAGAACGTACGGTTTTAAAGCTGGATTCAGATCCTCCGCAGTTTAAAGTGACAATACGATTTGGAACCGCGCATGCATCAGGAATTGGGCCCAAAAAAAAGATTGCTGGACATTTGGCGGCAAGAAAACTCTGCCGTCGACTGGGCATCATAAGTTAAAGACAATTGCAAGACCGTTGAACTGTTCTTGCTGTAAACTACTTGCATTATTGCTTGTATATACATCGTTCACGTTATCGACTTTTTTCGAAGAGAACATCTCTGTAGAATTTGGCTTGTCGCTCCGACCGGACATTTGATGCAGGAGCCATAATCACTATGAAACCCGTAAAACCTTTCAGTGATCTAACGTGTGAGATACAACTTTCCCAATACTGCTGAGCGGACTACGATTGACTAAAATCGGCAGCAGAAAGAAGAGTGAGGAGTAGTGAAGGATCGTTGGCCAAACGGAACGATGGCTCATGCATCAAGACTGGGCAGCAATGCGTGTACTGTACTGTCGCACTTATTGTTGCTTTTACTGCTTGGCGCATCACCCTTATATTGAATATGCAGGATGTCAGTGGCTGACGGATGACTGGGCAGCAAGGCTCACTGTGACGTGTCGACAAGGGTCAGGGCCAAGCCACGCGCACTCAAAGCAGTCGGGGATGGCGGGCCGACCATGCATCATGAAACCTCGAAGTAATTCGCTTATTTATCACAGTGAATATTTCCCATTTTCAGGTACTTTGATTGTTTTCCATCAATACCTGGCTTGTTTCATCTCCGTCCTATTTCATCTATCTCGCCAATCCAAAACTTCGTACCCAGTATGTCTAGGTCGCATCTCCAGTCACAAAGAGGTCGCAGCAAGACGGGAAGATGGAAAGGCTTCCAAAACCAACGAGGCTCAAACCCAAATGATAGATCTTAAAGATTTACATGACCTAGCCATGAAAAAACCAGCCCAGCTCGAATCATGAATAGCCAATACCTAGCGTCCTACAACTGGCTTGATCGAGCAAACTGCACCATTGTTGCTCCAGGTAGGTACTCATAGAATGTCCAGTCCCAAACCCCAGCTTACCCATTAGTGCAGGCGAGCCGCCCCAATTCAAAAAGCCAGATAAACCCACAAAATTTCGCGAAGGCTCCGGTACATACTACCGCAACCAAAATGCCTCCCGCCACCCAACCTATCCACTGGAGCCAATGAGCCGTTCAAATCCAGCTGCAGAAAACAGACCATCGTTGCTTGTGGCAGTTTAATGGGTAATCTGCTCCTCTTCGCTCGAGGCTCAGACAAAACATTCAGGATCCTCGTCGAGGCTGTCGGGGACACAGTATTCTTTCTGCGACGTGAGAAGTCGCCCTTCGAGACTATCCCAGGTGTTTATGGGTATGGACACTCGTTTCCGGAGGCATATACAGCCTGGGCATACGACATGCGGGGTTCGGAGTCATACCAGCGCATATTAGAGTACGAGTTTGCGGGTATGAAGGCTTTGATTAGATTTGAAGGAGACGGCTTTTTGCCAGAGCGTGTTCCAGGTCATGGGGACAGACCGAAGGCGCCGCCTTCCGGGCTTTCTTCAAATTCTCAGTCGTACTCGGATACTAGGTCTATTCCTAGGGATACGATGGATGAAGAGTTGCTCGAGTCGATGGCCAATACTGCAGACTCGGCTGCATACCCAACTAAATCGACAGAGCAGACAAAGTCTCTTCGTATTGAGAAAAGGGAACGGCGCATCCCTCAATCTACAGTGTTCGATTTAAAATCTCGATCAAGGACAAAGATAGATGCTGATACAGCGTCAGAAGAGATGCCCAGGTTGTGGGTTGCTCAGATCCCAAACTTCATGCTAGCACATCATGAATCCGGAGTCTTCACATCGATCAAGATCATTGATACAAAAGATGCTATTCAAGCATGGGAGGAGGAATATCAAAAAGCCTTGGCAGAGTTTGCGGCCCGTTTGAGGAGGTTGGTGGCATTTGCAAGGAGTATGGGGAAGTTTGAGATTGTTCGGGAGAATGTTGGCGAAGAGCTTGAGTTACGAGAGCAGGGAGGGGATATCACTGGTGTATTACCGCCTGATTTAATGGAGACATGAGAGCATGGCAGCTAGACCACTTGAGGATGTGATTTCAATGAGATATTTAGTACAGCAATACACGTGCTCCCTTACTTCGTTAAACAAGTTATTCCAACGGTAAAACAAGAAATCAAGATAAAACCCAGTTGCTCAAGAGTGGACATCAAATTCTATCTATCTATATATAAACGGTTCGGATGAGACGATACTCATAGTGAAGGCGCTAGGTAGATATTCAATATTTATGGCCAGCTTCGAAAAGCTTTCGTTCACTGCTTCCGCCCCCTTTCCTATGGACCCCTTCTTGACTGCTATTGCTTTCAGATCCAATTTGGATTGAGGTGGTGCTGTTGGGAGTACGGAGTTGGTCACGATTTCTTTGTCTTTCAGTAACTTAAACGAAACATTAATTCTGCCCTCGTTCAACTTTCGTGGGCATTTTTAGCCGTACAAATGTTACAAGCCGGATATCACAGGAGCACGGATGCGGGAGCTCACAAAAAAGACGTGCGTTCCGCATGATCAAGACCAGACTAGCTGTAAGATCGGCTCACAACAAGCTTTTTGTATCCTGCAGCAGGCTCGACTGGTAAAATACGAACTGCAGGCTAATTTTCCAGAGCTGCCAATGCGGGAGGCCGCCAATGCGGGAGGCCACCAATGTGGGAGGCCACCAATGCAGGAGGCCGCTCATGCAGAAAAAGTCAAAGTCAGTAAAGTGGATATCTTCCTTACTGACTTACGCTATCGAAAGTCGTTTAGCGACGCGATTCAATCCTAGGTCTCCTATCTATCTACCAAGTTATCTGTCCTATCGTCTCTCTGCATAGATACCAAGCAATGGCCCCAGGGATACATCGTTAGAGCTAATAGCTCTTGTAATCCGGAGCAAAAGCGCACATCGAAAAGTTTTTTACACCGCTGTTATCTCAGGATATGGCGGTACACCGAATAGGGACATTAGGTCTAGGCCATAAATAAGAGATATCCAGTATCTAAGACCAGACCGAAATTCCAGAATAAAGATTTTGAAGATGTCGAGCTCCAAAAACAGAGAACATCAGAGTGGTTCGTTACTATCTACCTCGATGATCTTTCTCAAAAAAGATTGCGTTTTTTCTACAGGTGACCACGAGGCTGATCACGGATTTAGATCCGAATCTAGCATATCACCTGAGTCTCTTGAAGATTGATGATTCTGATGACCGCGACGACGACATCGTGCTAGCTCCCATCTTCACGGGCCCAGTTCTCAATCAATCCGATCACACCCCATCCCAGTTTGGCCTATTGGGAGGATTGAAGAAGCTAGAAGCACCTGGCTTTCCAAGTTTTCGCCAACAGCTTTTTGAAAAAGACCCGCGACTATTTTTCAATGTTTCATCGCCATCAAGCACCTTCATCTGCGGCTCTCAGGGCTCGGGTAAAAGCCATACGCTATCCTGCATACTGGAGGGCTGTTTGATTCCCTCCGAGGCTGGTAGACTTTCAAATCCCTTGACAGCTGTCGTTTTTCACTATGACACTTTCATTTGCGATAATGGCGGCTCTCCTTGTGAGGCTGCATTCCTCGCGTCTCATTCTCAGATCAATGTCAGAGTTCTGTGTGCTCCAACAAACATTAGAACTATCCAGGTAATATAAATTTACTCTCGAAATGTTACTGCCTCTAACATATATCTTAGAGGACCTACGCAAGGTTCAATATCAAGGTGGAGCCTTTACAGATAGATCAAGCCAACTTGAATACCAAGCGCATGCTCGATCTTATGGCTGTGGGCCAAGATAAAGGGCCAGTACCTTTGTACATGCATACCGTCCAGCGTATTCTACGAGAGATGCGCCTTCTGCAGCAAGAGCACGCATCCCAATTCGATTACCAAGAATTCAAAAGGCGGGTTCTTGATTCTGATCTTCTCCCTGGTCAACTTGAGCCATTGAAACAGCGCCTAGAGACGCTTGAGAGCTTTATGCCTTCCCAGCAAGCAAAGCCACCGAGTGGGCTAAACAAAAAAAAGGGAAAATGTCAACGCACAGGCTCGAGCTGGGCACCAAAGGTCAGACTCTGACAGTCAGCCCTAGTATCGCAACGAAAAACTAATTTAACTTCGCCAGCCATCACAATTGACGATCATTGATCTTTCCTGTCCGTGTATTTCTCCTGATACGGCGTGTTCCCTGTTCAATATTTGCTTTGAAATATTCATGGAACAGGACACGAAAATTGGCCGAGTAGTTGCACTCGACGAGGCCCACAAGGTTCGTCACTCTCAAATAGAATCTCATGCCGATAGCCGTTGACGCGCTCTGTGTAGTATATGAAAGATTCAGTCGAAGCGCGCAACTTTACAGACACCCTTCTTTCAACTGTCAGGTTGCAACGCCACCTTGGGGCCCGCATCCTTATTTCCACCCAAGAGCCAACAATTTCAAGCGATCTCCTCAGTCTATGCTCGGTCACCATTGTCCACAGATTCTCCTCGCCAGCATGGTTACATGCATTACAAGGGCACGTGGCGGCGGCAGCTTTGGGGACACAACCCAATAGGGAAACAACGGCCGCCACTGAAGAAGACTTAGCAGCGCCCGAAATATCAGGTAAGTTCTCATTGTTCTACCGAATTGTCAATCTTCGGGTGGGTGAGGCCTTGCTGTTCTCCCCTGCCGCGGCATTGTGCTCTGCGGCAGAAACACCTAGCTCTCCAGGCTTGAGTAGACTAGGTGCTGGATATTTAGTCATCAAGATCCGAAAAAGATTGACGGAAGATGGTGGAAAAAGTGTTACATCGTCTTAGGAGTGCAAGATGAGCAAGATGAGCTAGCCATTAAACGATTCCACCTCATTGCAAATGGCCTGTGTTACCACTTATCAGAAATGATTAATCTTTTAAGATTTTTATCAAACTTCAACTACGCAGGACCATGTCTAGACACGACGCTTTATGACTACAACCTGTCTATTCTATTGAAGGTAGGGAATACAACACACACAGGAAACAAGCAATGAGAGTAAATCTCCGCGAGAAAATATGGTTCTGACTCTACATGATTGAGTGACCATATAAAAGACTCAATGCACCTACGTGGCCTGTGTACTCACTCTAAAGCATCAGTGCTCTCAAGAAAATACTAGGGGCTTTTTACTTCGAGTATATAGCTCTAAGGAGGGCGCTTCTGGCCAAGTGAAGAACCCCTGGCGAGCGTTCACAGGGCCTAGGATCAAATCTTACATTCCGGTGAACTCCTGCGCACTTTGCTAAGTTCACACGGTATGTGGCATGTTTAATATCACGTTGGAGCTCTAAAGCAAAATTTAGCGTCGCATGACATTCCTAGTTAGTACTGAGGTAATCAAATCACCAGCCAGTTCATTGACTGATTGAATGAACTATGTCATTTCCCCACAAATAGGATGGGTCGGGTGCGCGCTGACCCATTTTGTCCTAAAGGGTGACTAGCGGTATACTTAGTTGAGCACAGTATCATCAGCTGAATAAGATTCTCGAGTATATGACAATGATTAGCTCTAGAATCGAGACAGTCCCACAAAAGCCCAACTGAAACCAATCAGAATGCCCGAACTTTCTATCACTAGGTGGACTGTCTCCCTATTTCCATAGGGCTCAGGTTCGTCTGCTCCCACGCAGTAAAGCGAAAGTCTGATTTTTGAGCTCAATGGTTCTTGGAATATACTAAGTTTTCAATGCACTCTTTGGAAGTTTCGCCGATGCTAATGACGAGATGAAGAAGCAAAAATGGCGCCCGTGGAAATACGAATGATGACGTATGGAATGAATGGCAAACATTCTGGATAAGTAAAACAAAAATTAAACCTGCCAGATAGGGTCTAGGAATACTTACTGCGGAGGACCGTGCATTTGAACTGACTCACGATTCTGCATATTGTTTCACGTACACGTCGCACGGTGTGATTGGCGCGAGAGATTCCGCAATGGTCACCCTTGTTTGATACATCATATGCACTTCTTCACGCAGGTAGGATGATGCCCATCTAAGTATAAGAAAGAGATAAACTTCAAGCATATGCGTCAAGTTGAAATCGTATCTCTCGGTTGTGTATGATATCAAGCTTCCTTGATTTTGTCCAATTTTCTTACCACATTGACCGCCAAGATGAGCAACGTGAAGCCCCGCGCCTACCAACTTGAAATGTTTGACATGAGCATGAAGAACAACATAATAGCTGTGGTAAGATTCAAGCTTCAATAGGTCCGCGGTATGCCCAAGACTGAAAGCGAATCAATAGTTGCCAACGGGAAGCGGAAAAACTTATATGTGCGTATTGCGTGATTGGATATCAGATGACCTAGCATTGATGTTTCAGTAGAGCTAGCATGCGAATTATGGCGGAACTGGAACGCTGCCAGGAACATCAGGTAGACAAATTCCCCGTCGCTGACCACGAAGCACTACTAGACATTATTCTCTTTAGATGGTGTGGTTCTTGGTCCCGACCAAGGTCTTGTGCAGCCAACAGTTAGAATATCTGTCACGATTTATGCCCGCAGTCAGCATGAGAATGCTGACAGGAGATGATGAAGTTGACTGTTGGCGCAATCAACGTATTTGGGACACGGCTCTTCGGGGAATGAAAGTCGTGTTTTCTACCCATGCCGTGCTCGCCGATGCACTCACTCACGGCTTTATATCACTGCACCAACTTGCTTTGATAGTGTTTGATGAGGGTGCGAACTGAGAAGACCGGATCCTTGCCTTTATCAAGCTGACGATATACAAGCCCATCATTGTATGAAATCACATCCAGGAAACCGCATCATGCGCGATTTCTATCATGTGGCCAAGCTAGAAAACTCGACCCTTCCCAGTATCCTCGGCCTCACAGCCTCAGTTGATGTGGCTAAAATTCCGTGTGTGAAGCCGTGCCATGCTGAACAGAAATGCAACTAACAAATTTCAAGGAAGCTTGAACAAAACCTGGACGCAGCCTGTCGAGCGCCATCACTACAGCGTGAAGAACTGACGGAGTATGTCCCTCA